TTATGATCTCTATATCCAGTAGTTTGCTCTCCTCCATTTCTGTCATTTGTGTCCTGTTTCTTTGTCTTGGCATTTTTTTTGCTTTGCTGTGTCGATAGAGTGGTTTTCTGTGCTAAGTGTCCTCTAGGGCCCGGTGGCTCAGCCTCCCCAATTACCTGAGGTGGACACTCTTGGTGCACCCCCTTGTGGGCTTTGTGCACAGTCTTGTTGTAGTTAAGCCTTGATTGTTGTAGGTAACACTGGGAGGAATTGACCTCCAGGCCAATTGGCAGTGAGGATCAGCTGTGTCTAAGGTTGGAGAACTTCTGTGCTGAAGACACCCTTATGGGGCAAGACTTGCTTCAGTGGGGCTTTGGTGCTCACTGAGACTGCACCCTGAGTGTGTCCCTTATGGATCTGTGGAGTTATAATTGGATGGTCCCACTCTGACCACTGGGAACACAGGCTCTTGGATCTAAGGAGGTACTAATCTAGCCTCTGCCTGAGGCTAACCCTGCAGATGCCAGCTGTAAAGCAATGCAAGTTGCCCTGGGGCCTTGGAGCAGCTGCTGTTTGTTAAGTAATTTTCAGATTACAGAGGGCCGAGCCTTTCATATGCAAAAGCCTCTGTGCAAGGCTTGGGCGGGGCAGGGTCCCAGGGTATCAACAGGGCAGGCGGAGGAAGCAGTATGGCTGCTGTCAGTCCTGTCCTCAGAGGCCTGGCAATCGCTGGGAGCGCCTCCGAGAGAAAGCTGCCCTCGAGTTCTGACTGATGCCAGACAGTCCCGTTTCTCCTGTATGAGTCTGGGTCCCCAGAGACTCGCCTGGAACTGGAGCTCAGAGCCTGAGACTCCCTCCCGATTGAAAAAGATTATCGTGATCTCAGCCACCAGCCCTCTCCGCATGCACCTCTGCACCTTTGTATTTTACTTCCGCACTGCACCTCCTCTGGGTCTCGGTATACTTTTCTCTTTCCTTCTAGTTGTAGAATTTCCACTCAGCCAGCCTTTCTGTGGTTTTGGATGTTGTCCGTTCTGTCTTTTAGTTGTATTTTTGAAGTGGATGTGCGAGGGAGCATTCTCCGGTGTTTACCTATGCCGCCATCTTGGTTCTCCTCTACAATTCATTTCTACTACTGTATTTAAGCAGATCTCTATAAGATTAAGATAAAAACTAGAATTCCTTTGCAATATTACTATTGTTTTGACATCAGCTAGACCTCCCACATAAGTAGGTGAGAAACTTTAGTAGGTAATCTTGATCAGGCAGTATAGTAAGAGTTATTTGTATATAAAGAACATAGCCTCCTCTAGCTAGCATAAGTGAAAATGGGAATGTGCTGGACCTCAGAGAAGTGTCACAGAACCTACAGTCAAATGGAAGTGGAGATCCAGGAAGCCAGGCCATTCTCTCCATCTCTGGAGGTTCATGTGCTCTTTTGTCTCTTTCCTCTTTCAGAGCCCAGCACTCGCTATTTCATCAGGCATATGGCTCCCACCCCTCCAGCAGGCCCAGGTCCCCATGGTTTCTTAGTTCAGGAGCCCAGTGGAGACTGACTAATCTTTGCATTCCATTTCCAGATTTGCAAAAACAATTTTGTAATCTAACCCTGCTTAGGTCAAGTGTAAAAGTCTAATCCAGTGAGCTTAGCTGGACTGGCTTTGCTGAGCCTCCTGCCCTCTCGGCCCAGGCTCTAACAGTTTTTGTTAGGGGCCATGGGCAGAGTAGATGGACCAGCTGTGACACCTAGTGACACAGCCAGAAATTATCTAAATGAAGTCCCACTGACCACCTGGGGGGCGGGGGAGTGTAGGGGGACTAAACACTGTGAATATAATCTGTTTATTCTTTGTCAACTGAATTTGTTAAAAATTTTTAAAAGATTGTACTTTTATTTTAGGTGTACCAACAGTACCATTATTGCCACCACAAGTAAACCAGTCCCTCACTTCTGTACCATCGATGAATCCAGCTACTACATTACCAGGTAAGCAGCAGGAGACTTGAGATGTGTGTAATAAGCATTACTAACATTTTGCATCTTAAAAAGCAATGAAAAAAATGTTACACCTATGGAGTGACTTTTTATGTCTTTTAATCTCATTTTGCCTCTGTAACTTTGTGGTAAATGAGAGCAAGAGGAAATGAACCAACTTACCACCCCCTTCCCACCCCTCATGCAGCATGAGGCAGGAATAAGAAGTATGTACAAGTTCGGTTCTTCAGTGCTTCCTTAGTTGGGCTTTCTCATAGCTGTCTACTAGTATGTGAATACACATTATGTCCTGGGAGAGAGCACTCCTTATCTGCATCTTTAGTAGCTTGAACATTAGATTAGATTTTGGTTTATTTCTCTTACTGTTCCCAATGAACACAAGTCCCTTTATCTTGCAAATAATAATCAAGTATTATTTCACTGATCAAATATATTTGCATTGTGGGAGTCTTTAATTATATGGCTAAAGATGTTGTTATACAGACATATTAAGCCATTGTTAACCCATTAACCAAGTATGTACACACTCAAACACAGAATGATAAAGCAAGTGTGATAAAATGTTAACATTTGGGGAATTTGAGTGAAAGGTATATTTGGGGATTCTTTATATCAACTGCTTTTTGTAACCCTAAGTCTGAAATTATTTCAGAATTTGGAGGGAAAAAAAAAGGCCAGAGAGACTGTAAACCTCAACCAACAAAGAAAACTTCCATTCCATTTTACTACCATTCTTGCTGGATAAATTACCCCTTTCTCCAGACACTTTGACCTCATCGTTCTTGCTCTTGGGTTTAGAACAGCGGTTCTCAACCTGTGGGTCACAACCCCTTCCGAGGGGTCACCTAAGACCATTGGAAAACACATATATAATAACATACTGTTTTTGTGATTAATCACTATGCTTTAATTATGTTCAATTTGTAACTGAAATTGGGGTCACCACATTATGAGGAACTGTATTAAGGGTCGCAGCATTAGGAAGGTTGAGAACCACTGGTTTAGAAGAATTAGTATTTGTTTTAACTCTTAGCCATTTAATCAGTTAGGTATGGAAAGACATTTTGCTTCGCCTCACTGGCGAGGCTCAGTGGTTGAGCCTTTACCTACGAATCTGGAGGTCATAGTTCAATTCCCGATCAGGGCACATGCCCGGGTTGCAGGCCCAATTCTCAGTGTGGGGCATGCAGGAGGCAGCCAATCAATAATTCTCACTTATCGTTGATGTTTCTATCTCTCTCCCTCTCCCTTCCTCTCTGAAATAAAAATATATTTTAAAAAACAGACATTTTGCTTCAGTGAGATTTTATTGTTAATGTAGTTATGATACGGAACTGCCACATAGTAAGTGGACTTCTCACTTTGAAGTGAGTAGTATTTTTTCAACACAAATGGATTGAATGTTTTCCCCCTGGGAACTGGTTAACCTTTTGTCTTCACCTTCTCTTCAGGTCTGATGCCTTTACCACCAGGACTACCTAACCTGCCTGCCCTCCCCAACCTCAACCTCCCCACACCGCACGTCATGCCCAGCGTCAGCCTTCCAGAACTCGTGAACCCAGGTATGTTGCCCATCTTGCCTTCCTAGGGTTCTAACTAATAAAAAGTTTTATCTAGGAAAGCCACTCCTCTATTTCAGGGCTGGTGTGGTTTTTTTTCTGGAAAAGGCAAATCAGTTTAATAAATTTTAGCTGCCTCAAATCAATATTAATCTTTTTTATTTAAAAGGCTTTTTTAAAAAGGAAGCCCTAACCAGTTTGGCTCAGTGGATAGAGTGTCAGCCTGTGGACTGAAGGGTCCCAGGTTTGATGCATGTACCTTGGTTGTGGGCGCATCCCCAGTAGAGGGTGTGCAGGAGGCAGCTGATGGATGTTTCTAATCTCTATCCCTCTCCCTTTCTTTCTGTAAAAAATCAATAACATATATATTTAAAAAATATATTTTTTTATTAAAATAAAAAAAAGGAAGAAGTTATCTTTGTGATTCTCCTCTTACTGCGCCCTGACAACTCATGCACCACAAAGGCCATTAGTAGAAGTAAAGAGAGTGTGTGGTGTCACGCTGCTGTAACTAAATTGGATGGAAGGTGTACATTTCACCCAGTGGAGGTGAATGAACTTCTAAGATTCTCCTTGTGTTTGGGGCGGCTGCCCCCTGTGGTGCCTATCTTGCGTAGCCCAGGCCCGGAAACTTAGACTGTAAAACCATTGCCCTTGCTCAGCTGGTTAGCTTATTTTTTGATAAATTCTTGTCATTTAATAAATATTCTCCATTATTAATAAATGTTTTTATAATAACAACTGTGAGAGATTTTACCTGCAAATAGGTAAGTTAGCAGATACTCAGTGTTCACACTCTTCTTATGCACTGATAAAAATGCAGCAGCAGAGTATATCCCACAAGTCTGCTCTTCCAGTTAATGGTTACCCAGGTTACCTTTGGCTTGGAGAGGGCCACATGTCAGGGCTGACTTTTCATTCCTGTAAACGCTGATGCTTATTGTCTTAGCTCTCTCTGTCTTTTCTTCTGTGCCCTACATTCTTGGCTTTTTCCTCTGTCTTTTCCCCAAATTGACATTGAGGGTTTAACCAGCCCAGTGGTTGCCCTGAACCTGTTGTGCAACCTGTCTTTCCATTGTTTCTGAAAGAAGTAATACTCTTTTCCTTTATTATTATTGATTCCTTATTTTTAATCCTCACCCAAGAAATTTTTTTTGAATTATATACTTTTATTGATTTCAGAGAGGAAGGGAGAGGGGGAGAGAGAGATAGAAACATCAGTGATGAGAGAGAATCATTGATTGGCTGCCTCCTGCATACCCGCTACTGGGGATCGAGCCCACAATCCAGGCATGTGCCCCTGACTGGAATCGAACCTAGGACTTTTCAGTCTGTAGGCCGACACTCTATCCACTGAGCCAAACCAGCTAGGGCTCTTTTTTTCCCCCCATTAATTTTCAGAGTGGGTCAAAGGAGGTGGGGGTGGGGGGGGAGAGAAACATCCATGTGAGAGAGACACATCAACTGACTGCCCCTCTCATGTGCCCCCACTGGGCGCAAGAAATGAACCCACAACCAAGGTACATGCCCTTGACCAGGAATTGAACCCTTGACCCTTTATTCCGAAAGCTGACACTCTAACCATTGACAAACTGGCCAGGGCTATTGTGCATTTTAAAATCAACACAATAAACCCACTAAGTATAAACAGTTATCCATCAATCTTGGGGCTTGAGCAGAGGCTGGGTACTTATGATGAAGCTAATGCAGGGGCTTCATGACAAGCTCCTCCTTCCACAGTCTTCCCAGAGGCTGCCTTCTGTGTCTCCTCTTCCTATTGTCTGTCCAGGGAAGCTCTCAGTCAGCTTGCAGCTTTCCTGGGTGAGTGGGATTCTCCTGTCCGATACTCAGTGTAGCTGCGGTGCCTGCTGGAGGGGCTGCTGTCTGTCCCACTGGGAGAGTCATTTCTTCCCTGAGCTGGGACAGGGAGCCGAGGCATATAGGAGCCTAGACACAGGGAGCCTTTCCTCCTGGCCAGCTGGTCAATGAAAACAGTTTTGTGACTGTGACTACTGCTCTTCTAGTGCTGGGAGGATGTGTGATCTGTGCTGTTTTTGTCCTAGGTTTGCCACCTCTTCCTTCCTTGTCTTCCCGAAACTTACCTGGCATTGCAGCTCTTCCCTTGCCATCCGAGTTCCTTCCGTCATTCCCTTTGGTTCCAGAGGTCTCTTCAGCAGCAGGCTCAGCGGAGCTGTTGTCCTCCCTCCCACCCACCAGCAGCCCACCCTCCGACCCCGTCATGACCACTGCAAGAGCAGATGCTGCCTCAGCACTCACTCTGGATGTAACGCTCCCAACTTCCAAGGCCCCGATCACTGTTGAGGACAGAGTCAGCGAATCTGCCCTAGCCAGCCAGAAGCCTGTTTCTTCGGTAACAGATACAAATGCCTCTGAGTCACCTTAACTTTGAACCATCTTTGGAGTTGACTCGGTGTGCTTATTTAACCACGGAAACGAATCTGGAAACGCAAACTATCATTAATTTCATACTAGTTTTTATCATATCTGTAGGCTCCTGTAAATAATTCTAAGGGAAAACTAAGCAAGAGGATCTGAGATTGTATCCTGCCGAATCAGGGTGGGTCATGGGCTGGGGAGGGAAATGTCAGAAAGTGCTTGTATTTTAAAAACAACCAAAAAGAATTGTAAGAGGGCTTGCCGCCAGGTTTCCACTGCCATTCTTGGGGTGTGCATCTTTGGGAAAGGTGGCAACAAGGTGTCTACTTTTGTCCCTGTCCCCCTGCTGCTCCTCTGTAAGAAAATGAAACATTTTATGCCTCGTTCTCACATGCAGCATTTCTTGTAGTTTGTAAATCATTTGCGTGAAAGCAGACCACTTCACTAAACCGTGAAAGGAAAAAATATTTTACTTTTGGTCTCCATGAGTCACATCTCTATTAAGGTTTACACAAAAATCCAGCTAAAGATGCTTGATAAAGTTACACAATGTGCACTAGTAATTGAACGTCTTTTTATTCAGCCTATACATGGATCCTTGTTTTGAGCTCTCAAAATTACTCAGACAACATTTTGTAACTGCTGCTGTTGCTTTATACGTCCACCATAAAATACATTTAAAAAGAAATAAAGGAGGTGTTGGTGTTGCACAGTTTTAAACCAGAAGGTGGCACTTTGTGGCTACATCAGATATTACTACTATACTGGGAAAGCAGAGATACAGCAATAAATTATAGTAATTTGACTTTTCTTGTGATACATTTAAATTATAGGTCCTACCTGCCATATGTGCATGCATTACTCTCAGTGTGCCACCCATCTTCAGTGTAATTTTTCATGTCTTAATGTTAGCTTTCTCCTAAGTTTTTTAAGAGATGATAAGTTAAATGGAATTGATTTATTGAATGAAATTAAGTGCATATTATATCTCTGTTTTTAAATAAGATGAAAGAACTTCATTGATTATTGACCTGGCACTGGCATGAACATTGCTAAGAGAATAGCACATAGAACTACAACCACTCAGCTAACTAGGGTCATCAGCTCCAGCTCAGAGCCTCCAACAGGGGCCAGTGCCAGTCAGTTCTTAGCATATATCCATTTCTAGAGCCAGATTTCTAGTTAAAATTATTAAAGAAGGCTCCAGCGCTAATCATAGCATCTTGTGTTTACATTATAAATATTTCTAGAATAGTTCTCTCAATCCTGTTTTTAAAGAGGAGCTTATAACAGGTAGGAAAAATATTCACAAGTATATTTAAACTAAAGGCCCGATGCATGAAATTCATGCAAGGGACTTGGCCCTTGCAGCCCCAGCTTCGTCCAGAAGGTTATCGGGCTGTCTGGTCTAAGTAGCATATTGTGCTTTTATTATTATAGATGGTATAATTATTTACTTTCCAGGACAGGAAAAGTTGAGCAAGTTGTTACTACTTTCTAGAAGATGTTCATATTGTGTGTGTGTGTGTGTGTGTGTGTGTGTGTGTGTGTGTGTGTGAGAGAGAGCAGA